CTAACAATATTCAATTAGTATTTTAGTTTTTATTCTTCAACATAATCAGATTGCCGATTTGGATGTGCTTCTTTAAATGCAGGAAGCTCATTTAATCTTTCTTCAATAGCTGTCATGATAGGATATGCAGTTAAATCAACTTTAAATCTAAATAAAAAATAATAATCATACAGATGAATAGATAAATAAGAAATGAATATATACAGTCGTGCATTATAAAGTTGAGGTGGAAGACAACAATCAGCTATTGTCACTCGATCACCTACACAATACTTTCCTGCGGATTCTTCAAGTGCTTTTTCTACCGCTATAAAAAAGTTAAATTATTATACTTGAATATGAATTAATCAATTCAGTTACCATAGAGTCCTAATTTAATAAAATCATGTGCCCATTCAGCGTTTTTCTCTTCACCAACACGTTTCAGAACGCTTAACTTTTGCAAAGGCTTTATACGAAAAAATAAAAGTAAAAAATAGATATGATAAGTAAAGAACAAGAAAAATACCTGAATACTAGATGCAATGATTTTGCTAATCAAACGAGCCTAAATTAGATAATCACATTGTAAAATATACTTTCCTTCTCTTCTAATTTCATTCTAAATTATTACCTGATAACGTTGATAAGGATCTTCTGGTAAAAGTCTAGGTTCTACCTGACGTGTTTCATCAATATATTCAATGATAGGAATCTGAATAAAAACACATACATAATAAACACACTATTGCAGTTTTATTCGAATGAACATACTGATTGTAGAAGTTTTTTTCCATCAATAATAAGTACCTAAATAAAAAGAATTACTACCTCGACTGAAGGGAGGGTCATATGAAATAAAATGAGTTTGTATGTTTGTTTGCAGTCACGTGTCAGTCACGTGTTCCATTATATGAAGCCCATTCTTGGTGAAAATGCTTGACCAAAAGTAATCGGGGTTGGAGAATCCGAACCCATGATCAGTTTTTTGAAATTTTCAGTTTTCGTTTTTTTAGGAGAGAGAACGAATTTTTTACGAAAAAAATGATTTCTTATAAAGTTTCACTAAAGGTAATCGGGGTCGGGAATCCGAATCTGCAGTCGGATTTTCGAAATTTTGAATTTTAGTTTTTTTAGGACAAAGAAATGCTATTTTACGAAAAAAAATGATTTTTTATAAAGTTTGACCGAAAGTAATCGGGGTCGCCGAAATCGAATCTGTTATCAGCTATTCAAAACTGTGTATTGGTTTTGACTGTAGAAAGACTTCTTTAACATTGACAATAATCATTTATTGGCAAAGTACATTTTAATGGGTGAGCGACTAGTCGTAAGTGGTGCCCCAGAAAGACGCCGACGATCAAATCGCCTCTTGTATGAAAATTTGACTTTAGTTTTCCACGAGGAAAGATCTGCAGAAAAGCTAGGGTGTTCTTGGAGAATTGTACACTAAGAATCAGCCAAAGAAGTATTCCAGTGCAGCATCGAATCTTCAAATAGACAAAGAAGTTTCAGGAATAAAGGATAGGTCAGAAGAAAATCATTGACTTTGAATGCCGGATTGAGAACTCTCCTATTCTGTACCAAACGGTTTTTCCACATGAAAGGAAGTGAAAGTCACCTCGATTATTATTAACAGATTATGATCCTAGGTGGAAGTGGGCGTTATCATGGGTCCGACTGGCCGTGAGTGGCGCCGACGAATGACTAGTCGGTGATATGGAAAGTTCACTGAGAGAATGATTCAAACTCAAGGAACACATAGGGATAATTTCTATCGTATAGATCTGACAGGTTTTAAAATTGCCTGAAAGTGACGAAAAGTTAAAAGTATTTTTGGAATGAACTATGAGAATAAGTTTTCTTTAGACATAAAACATCTAGAAAGAATACTTCACTGAAAAAATATCTTAGCAAATTTAGATTCCATGGAGTGAAAGCGTGCTTGAATGAAATAAAATGAGATTTCGGATTCGAGGAGGGTAGATGGACGTGCGTGATATTGGATTTATGTAGATTATGTGGATTTCGGTTAGGTATCAAAGTTTAGGTAAAAGTGCGATTGGATGAATCTATGGCAAAAATGCAACAGACGGATATTGATACCCTCGTGGAAAACGATACTGAAGCGCATGTTGACATCCACACCCACATTTACCCTCTTTTTAGTATTGCATACGCATGCTGCTTAGGGTTGTAAAGTAGTGTTTTATACACAAACAGTTAAATACTCAGTCGAGGGTCAAGTGAGTCGTGTGACGAGCGTTACTTGTTTGAATTTGTAGAACAGTTCAAAAAAGTTTTGTTTTTTATTATCATTTACGTACTGGAACTTCACCTTTTGGATTGAGCTTTTCAAGTTCATCAGTTGACTACAAAAACATAAACTTAATAAGATAATTTGTTTCTTCAACAACTAAAAAAAGTAACATACTGTTCCACCTTTGAAAGGATTAACTGAATGAATCATATAGGGAATATTTTTCAAATTCAATGCTAAAGAGAGAGAGAAAATTAGACAAAGTGCTTTAATTGTTTTCTCTTTTCGAAACACACTCACCAATGCGAACTCGATATGAGCATGAACTGCGATCATATGAATATAAAATGGGCTAATACACAAGAAAATATAATTCATTGTTTAAAATTTCATCCTTCTCTAACTTTAGCATCGAAAGTCGTCATATTTGTTAAATCTAAAGCAAACTAATAATCAAAAAAAAAAGGGCATGCTTTTTCTCTCTTATTCATTTCTTATCTTTAACCTCTTCATTTCGTTTTTATTTCATGATAATAAAGCCAAACATATATTCAAAAGAATAATAAACTGAGCTCAAAGATAAATAGATAGACAAATTTATCAAAAAGCCCTATGCACGTTGATAATGATCGACGTATAACAAATAGATATTTCAAGTTAAAACATCATGTTATATCTCATTTTAAAAATTAAATATTAATATTTCAAGAACAGCTAGATTTAATTTAGTAAATATGAATATTGTTTATGTGTAACGCGACGGCGTCAGTTTAACAAGATGATTCAAATGACTCATTATCATTGTTATTGGTATCAATCTATGAGAATTGTATATCATGAATTTAGAAAAATTTTTCAAGATTAATAAGTCTGCCTTCGATATATAAAACCTAGAAGCTATTAATAAGAATGAATGTATTGATTATTTTCAACCTTATCCGTACTACAATCTCAAACAAATATCCATGGTACTCTTACGCTGTAAAAACACAATTTTCAAGTTAAATAATATTCAAATTGATATTCTTTTTAATTTTTGGTTTCGTTTATTTACTTTGTGTGACGATTTCTGATGTTATAGACACTGTTTAACAGCTATTATAACCAATATTTTATTAATACATCAAAAACTGTGCATCTACTCTATTTGGTTCTGCTTTATATACTGTTACACGAGAT